AAGGAAGAAACCCTCTACGCTAAAGAGCCCAAGCCCGACGAGTGGGAGGCGCTGCTAGAGAGACACAAGCATTGGAAGAATCTGCAAGTAACGGCCTGGGTAGTGAGGTATCTCAACACTTCCTTTGCGAGACGACGGAAAGCAAGAAGCTAATGGGGCCGTTGACAACGGAGGAGATGGGAAACGCAAAGGAACGTTGGGTGAAGAGGGTCCAAAGTAGTATCTCTCCGAATTTGCAAACACCTGGGTGGGAGCTAGTCAGGAATGATACCAGCATCTTGAGGTGCAGCGGAAGGATTTCCGGTTACAACCCTATATACATCGAAGGGGGGCTGTTTGCTGAGAAACTTATCGCTCATACGCATGAGCGGATAATACATCTGGGAGTCGCAAATACAATGGCGAACATACGGAACGAGTGGTGGATTCCAAGGCTGAGGTCCAAGGTCAAGAAAGTGATCAATCGATGTAACACCTGCAAGGTATTCAGCACAAGGCCCTATGGATCCACAACGACAGCTGCGATGCCGAGGTTTCGGACGGAGAATGGGCGGCCATTCGAAACAACTGGAGTAGATTTCACAGGTCTACTTGACTAAAAAGTAACCAAGAAGGAGCGAGGCAAATGTCATGTCTTGATCTTCACTTGCGCCACCTCAGGAGCGGTGCACCTGGAAGTAACAAAATCACAAACGGCGGAGTGGGAGGCGCTGTTAGAGAGACACAAGTATATTCAGAGGAAGCTGAACTCGTTCATTGCCAAGAAGACCAGACCTCGCCTCATCATTTCAGAGAACGCCTCGGTATTTAAGGCTACCGCAACATGGATAAAGAAGATACAGAAGAGCGACAGGCCACAAGACCATCTCGCGAGAGAAGACATCAGATGGCAATTCAACCTTTCCAGGTCCCCATGGTGGGGTGGAATGTATGAGCGGATTATCAAACACGTAAAGAAGACTCTTTACAAGACGTTACGCAGGACAAACCTTAACTTTGAGCAGCTCGAGACGGTGAGTCAACACAGAGAGGCAAATGAACAACCGCCCCTTGACATACCTCGAAAGCGAGGGCGGGGAGGAACAAATCCTGACCCCTAATGTGCTGATGTGGGTGCAGAACGCACACGAGATAGAGGAAACGGAGGAAGACGGAGAGGAAGTGAGTAAACTTCAGAAACGCCTGAAGGAAGCCAAGCAGCATGCCTGAAAAAGACGGAAGCACGAAGACGGAATACACAGTTTGTTAGAAAGCCATCGGGTTAACGGGAAGGCTCCCCCACTACCGGACATTAAAGAAGTCGTGCTAGTCGTGGGCGATGAGAAAAACCGAGCGAAGTGGAAAAAAAGGCAGAGTAATACGCCATGTTTGAGGGAGAGTTAGGGTCATCAGAGGAGTAATTCTGCTGCACAAGGGCCATAACATTGAGAGACCACTAAGCCTGGTCTGCCCACTGGAGATCAAGTGGCCAGTCATAACTGAGGACACGCCCCTACAGCTGATGCCTGGAGATCAACAGACAGGGCGCTTCAGGAGTAGTAGACAAGCCGCTGAGACTGCGAGAGAGAAAACACGAGTGATCGCCGCGGATGATGACGATGACTGATATCGTTCTAGTTCAATTAGTCACTTAAGTTTGAACACTGTTTCGGTAAAAATTAAGTGACACTTTTAAATTCTAGGGGAGTGTGAACGGAAGTTGCGTAAGCACACAGGAGACGCTTTTAGAGATGACGCAATGCGAAAGTTGCGTAAGTACGTGTAGGCTAGATCACGAGGTTTTGAGAGTGTGAGAGCAGAAATTAAAAGAGACGTTGTGAAACGAGGAAAATAAAATAGGATTTGTTAAGGACAATTTTCGAACACGTGAGTTAGAGTGTACCCCACAAGTTCGGCACACTGGTCAGTGAGTCAGTCAAACAGTTGATCTGCCAAATTCCGCGAGGTACTTTTCTAAAGTTGATTTCATAGGATACTTTCTAGAGTTTAGAGTATTTCTTTTCTTCATTCTTTATTCAATTTGCTTGAATTGACCTGCTTTACCACCTCTTACCAAAGTCGTGATCAGCAACAATGATAGTGAAACGTTGTATTCTAAGAGTGTTTATACGTGTCACATCCTCGGAGACCCAGGGGCTGTAGGTCGATTTCAAGTTAGGGCATGAAGAGCCCCTAGGGACATTTTCTTACAAGACTAGTTCCAAACGGTCGCAGTCGTTCTGCCATCTGATTGGTGCCAGAAAATCTTTGTGTTTTTCTTCCCAATCAGAGTGAAATGTACTTTAGCGTCCTTTCGTGTGTTTTAACACGGACATAGACTAATAGCCCAGTTGCTCGCTATGTTTGTTTGTGCCGTGTGACGGAGATTTGCCTGAAGTGAAAAGTTTCAGTCTCAGCACACAATGTAAGAGAAATCGATCAGATTGTCCGCGAAAATCGTACCGGAAATTATACTGAATACTTTCGCAGGTATCACTAGAGAACGTGTTTTAAAGTTTGCGAGGTTTGTATACAACAAGATGGTTGCAGTCATTGATATGTCGCTTTAAACGTTAAACGAGATTTAAGCTTAAATCTTTCTAGATTTTCTGCATAATTTGCTGTGACTGAAACTTTGCCAATCCCGTGAAGTTATTTCGTCGCACGGGCGACGTAGGTATGTCGAGCAACTGGCACTTTCGCCTTGGTAGCTTTCTGCTTTCTGTGCGCGCCAAAATCTAATCTTCGCTTTGTAGTAAAGTCGTTCACAATACGGCTTCAATTCGTGGACGACCTCCAGTAAGCGCTTAGAGAAAGCTTAGTTGTGTTTCCGGTTAGCTAATTAAAATCTGAACAAAAACTTANCCAGGGGCTCTTCATGCCCTAACTTGAAATCGACCCAGAGCCCCTGGGTCTCCGAGGATGTACGTGTCAAAGAAGTCGAAAGATGATTTCATTTTGTTTTGAACCAAAACCGAATTGGAATGTTCTAAAGCTTGCCCATAACTGTCATGTAGTTAGGTGTGGTTTGGTGTAGTAGGTGTAGTTGCGTGTGTTAGGGGTAGTTTGGTGTAGTATGGTGTAGTATACTCTAGTAGGTATAGTTAAGTGTAGTAGGTGCAGTTTGGTGTAGTAGTTGTAGTTAAGTCTAGTAGTTGTAAGATGGTGCAGCTTGATGTAGTAGTAGTAGTTTGGTGTAGTGGGTGTAGTTCAGTGTAATTTGGTGTAGTAGGCGTATTTAAAAGTAGTGGGTGTACTTTGTTGTAGTTTAGTGTGGTAGGTGTAGTTAAGTGTAGTAGATGTAGTTTAATGTTTTTTATGTAGTAGGTGTACTTAAGTGTAGTAGATGTAGTTTAATGTTGTTTTATGTAGTAGGTGTTTTATGTAGTATGTTTGTTTTTTGTGTAGTTTGGTGTAATAGGTGTAGTTCAGTGTCGTAGGTGAAGTAAGTGTAGGTTTAGGTGTGTTAGGTGTAGTTACGTGTGTTAGGTGTAGGTTTGGTGAAGTAGGTATAGTTTGGTGTAGTAGGTGTACTTTAATGTGGTAGGTGTAGTTTGGTATAGTGGGTGTAGTTCGGTGTGCTTTGATGCAGTAGGTGTAGCTTGGTGTAGTAGGCGAAAAATTAAGTTACTACACAAAACTACACTAAACTAAAGAAAAACACACCAAACTTCCAAAAACTACACTTACTACACCAACCTACACCAAACTACACCAAACTACACCTACTACACGTACTACACCAAACCACACCAAACAACAAATAAAACACCTACTACACCTACTGCACCAAACTACACCTACTTCACCAAACTACAGGTACTACACCACACTACACGTACCACACTAAACTACACCAAATTACATCTTTAATAAAATAGAGGGCAAAACTACTGAATGCTGATTGGTCAATGAAGAGGTTATTTTTTCTTAATTTTGGTTAGGAAGAGGGCAAAATTACTGGCTCGTGATTGGTACTCAGGTTGCTCAGCAACAGGTTATGCTGTCGAAAAAGTGTTGCTGAAGATTTTCTGTAGAAATGGCGTCTCGTTTCGAGATAGTTGACGTGGAATATATCGAAGAATTAAAAGACAAGAGTGAAAACGAAACACGTAGAAAAGCATGGAGTACTGGAAGAACGTTTATAAAAAGTGGGCGAGTGAAAGAAACTTCCAAGCAAATTTAGAAGAGTAGGAGAGCGATGTCCTCGACCGAACACTGGCGCAGTTTTATGCCGAGTTTCGAAAAGAAAACGCGGATGAATATGAGCCCGACTGCCTAAAAGTAATGGAGAGACTATCACTGGAGAGATATCTAAAATCAAAAGCCTATCCAAAGTCCTGGTATCTTTGTGCAAAAATAAAATTTCATTCAGCTTATTCGTGCGTTTGTGACCATTGATTCTCTGTCAACTTTAAATGGCTTCCTATGACTGATTACTGAAGAGCGCATACAGAAATTCAGTAATTTTTCCCTCAATTTCATTAACAAGTGATCGCAATGGGTCCTCGTAAAATTAAGGATTAATATCACTTTTGTTTTCAGAAGTTGCTGAAATTGCCCTCGTCGTTTGGCGACTCGGGCAATTTCAGCAACTTATGAAACACGCGTGATATTAATCCTTAATTTTACTCGGCCCCGTGCGATGACCTATATGTAGTAGGTGTGGTTAAGTGTATTGTTGTGTAGTAGGTGTAGTTTTGTGTAGTAAGTGTAGTTTATAGACAGGTAAAAACGAACGATATAATATCCCGACGTTTCGGCGACTTCATGACGCCATTATCAAGGGTACAAATGAAAATAAAATTAACAAATGCGAATTTAAGAGTTACAACTAATTTGCATAGGGGAGGTAGCTACACAAATACTTTAGCACGGATAGAATCCGTTTCCACGTTCAAACTCGGTGTTAATTGTTTGATGTAAGGCATCTCGTTGACCAGACAATCGAATTTGTCTGGTCAACGAGATGCCTTACATCAAACGATTCTTGTAACCGCTGACGACAGGACAAGATGGCGGCCATTTTTCGTACTCCGACAATTTTGGCCTTATATGCCGTATTTTTCATGCAAAAAAACTTGTTATTTATCACAAATTATGGCGGAAAGGTATGGAAAAGCTCCAATGATACAACGGATATGCAGTACGAATTTTCGAGCGGAATTAAACTTGGTTATCCGTCTTCGTAGTGTTGGTCGGTTCGAGTCACATGGAGTGAGGTATCTCGTGGGGAGGATCAAGCGGTATCCAAATTCGACCTCCACATCTCAGCTAACTCGTGTGGCAATCAGCGGGGATGTGTCTCTGAACCCCGGGCCCTCGGTAAAGCCCAAGTGTGGTGTGTGTTCAAGAACGCTGGCAAGAAATCATCGGGCTGTACTCTGTTATTGTTGTAAGGGGCTAAGTCACATAAAGTGTGCGAACGTGACACCCAGCGAGTACAAACGAATTCAGGATTTGCCAAACAAGACTTGGGTCTGCTCAGCGTGTATGACTATCTCCACGCATAACGATTTACCATTTCATGGAATTGGAAACACCACTCTTGAAGATTTATTCATGAATGAACCAGCTGTCATGGATTATACAGATCAGATTGACTCTCAGGACCGTGATTTTGCAAGTTTTATGGATGTTCGAGTGAAGTACAGCTCTAATTTCTTGACAGCACATTTGAATATCAACAGCTATCAGAATAAATTTGAAGAGATGAGGGAAATTATACAAAAGCTAAGAATTCAAGTGATTTTCATTGGTGAAACCAAAATTGACTCTTCCTATCCCGATGCACAATTTGCTATATCAGGGTACCAGCTTTACCGAAGTGACAGGATGAAAGGAGGAGGTGGTCTTTTGGCTTATGCGTCATCTAAAGTGATTTGCAAACGGTTAAAAGTTCCTGGCAGCTACAGAACTATTGAATCATTGGTTTTGGACGTTGAGCTCAAAGGGAGACGTGTAATTGTGGCTGGCTTGTATCGCCCTCCCAAACCTCGTGTCAGCAAGTATCAACTGCAACTGGGGGAGGAGATTAATCACTTTTGTAACTGGGCTTCAATGCAGGGACATGCACTTGTGTTATTGGGGGATTTAAACCTTGATAGACTCCGCTCTGATAAGCCTGAAGGCAAATTGTTGATTGATACAGAGGAGACCCATGGACTTGAGTGTGTAATTACGGAGCCAACTAGGATTCAAACTAGGGCTGGTAAGACTACCAAGACCCTCATTGACGTTATCTTGACTAATGAAGCTCATTTATTTGTCCAGAGTGGGATTTACGAACCGGGTCTTAGTGACCACCCACTAGTGTATGGCTTCATGCAAGACACAGCAGCTAAAGTCAAGCCTAGAATTATCAAATTCCGTTCAGTTAAGAACTTTGATAAGGAGAAATTTCAAGAACACCTTAATTCAGCACCTTGGCATGTTGGGGAAGTTTTCGATAGTGTGGAGGATCGGGTTGGTTTTGTAAGTACACTACTGACGGAGATTGTCAATGACCATATGCCATTTAAACAAATGCGTGTCAGAGATCAGGATGTACCATATATGAACTCAGAGTGGAAGGAGGCAATAC